GCTAATAGAGCAGTATCAGGACTGTGCGAAGATAACGCCCTTTCCAGAGATCTTGTTTCCTCTATTACCATTGCACTATTCTGGTTCTTCTCTTTTGTCCAGGCTATAATAGCTCGTCGGCAAGCATTTAGCTTTGTAGCCACTGTTGCATCTCTTTCTTCTTCCCAAATTTCCTGGACTATAGCCCTTATTTCCTCATTATCCCTGAGCCTGTTATCAAAACGAAACCAACCACGTTTTTTGGTTCGGGAACCATCAAGATAGGTGATCCGAGCCTTCGAACCGGAGGTAATGAGCTCTTCCGGAGGGAAACATTTCAAACCAACTGTTGTTGGCTAAAGCACGATCCAGTCGAGCTCTAACAAAGTGTGTATTATCTCATTCCACGCAATGATAAAGGATTTCCAGAATGTCTAATGTCGAATAAACCATTCTGTTAAAACTTTTAACTAGTAGTATAAAACTGGATTTTTATGTGACCGAAGATGCAATGGAAGAATGCAATTCAGAGTATCAGGAAAATTTGATTGAGTAAACAATAAATCTACGAAACTTTTAGATACATCAGTTTCTTGGAACATTGGACTTATCTTACGAACGTTATCCGAAAAAAGACTTCCTCTAATTATCGGATCAATATATATACACAGAAACTGAAGTTTAGATCAAAAGAGTTTCACAAACCGACTTCAGAAAAATATATACAGAAAACACTTCACCACAAAGGATATGATGCCATTTTTACACTGTCAATGGGTTCTTCCACCTTTATCCTCTTTTTGTAAGGCATGAACCCTTTCATCTCAATCACCGACGATTTCAACTGAGAAAACGCTGATCTATCGCTTCTTTTAAACTCCGCTGTCGCTTCTGTTTCAGCGTTTTCAGAATAAGAAGAAGACGTAGAACATCGAACAGACTGCGTTTCCAAGTCTACCTTCTTCTTGACATCTTCCGAATCATTAGAGCTAGTCGAAGAGTTGTAATCACCAACTACAAAAGTCTTTCCAAAGAGCTTAAGGCTTCGTTTGGTCTCTGCTTCTGGAGACAATGATTCCTCTGTGTGAGATGATAACTCAAGCCCCTGTAAAAAACTCAGTTATGTCAGATCACTGAACACAAAATGGCGATTGAACTATCATATCGGATTGTGTGTCGGATAACAACATACCGGTGAGTGTTGGCAATCAGCTGAAGAAGAAAGAGCTGAATTTGAACCCATGGAACCTAGGCCATCTGAGCCATGAGCTGATAAAACCGATGTTGGAGATCGGCTATCTTCATCTTGAACCAACTTAGCTCCGGTTAGCTCAGCGTATACCATCTCTTTTGCATCAGGAATCACTAGCTTCCTAGGGTAAGGATGCATCGGCTTTCGTTTCGGCCTTGGTGGCGGAATCTCAATGGATTTCTCAGAGCTAACATCGCAATCACGAGCAACCTATTCAAAAACTTGAATTAGACCTTGACTAACCCCAAAAATTGATATTTTTTTCATTGAATTAAGGTCTGAAAAGCAAACCTTAGTAAAAAACTTCTGAGCATGGCTTCGAATCTGAACCGCAGTCTTTGTTCCCACATGTTCTGTTCCACAGAAGAAACAACAAAATTCAAAATCCATAACAAAATAAGTTGACTCCAATTAGGGTCCATATATTTTGCTTATATTCCTAATCAAACCTATTTTAGAATGTGCCTTAGAGACTTTCTAAAGTCAGATAAGCACACACACCTTCGATTCGTCTCCAAGCTCTGCCATAGAGTTTCAAAGCTTCAACAAACTTGTCATGCTCTGCTTCTGTCCATTTCTCTCTTTGCTTAGTGATGGTGTAAGGCTTTCTTGTCTAAAAAGAACGAACGATTTTAGAACTCAAGGTTGAAAAACTGAAACCAGTGAGGAGGAGTAAACAATAGACCCAATCCGTACCTTGAGATAAAAGGCATCTCTAGAAGAGTTAAGCTCATCAGAAGCTCCGTCACATACACTCTCACAATGTTCCTATAATCACAAGAAGAAGCAAAAAAAAAGAAGCATTTAGTCTCTCTAAAGCTTATAAACCAAATGATCAAAAGAGTCTTAAAACTAAGCAATAAACACATAGAAGAGTCAGACCACCAAATAAATAATTAGGGAATTGAGTCTTGGTTCTTACCTAAAAATTTCCAATATATAAAACAACCGACCATAATATTCCACAAATCGCCTGGTCTATAAACAATTAACCTGCGTCAATCGAATATTCTTCAGTTCCAAGTTCTCAAAACTTGAAATTAT